ATTTGACTCTGGGGGCTCATGAGAGCCTGAGCCTCGCCGAGCAGAGGGTCTTGGCTCAGTCGCTGGTAGAGGATGGCCAGGCCCCCCAGGGAGTTTCAGGTCCTGTGAATGTCGGCTCCGCGGAGGGCTTCGCCCCGCGAGAGCAGGTGTTGGATTCGTTCGGCCTGTCCGAGTCGGATTTATCCTGGGTCAAGGACCTAGGGGCCGCCTCCCTCCGAGCCTCGGACTGCGGTTTCGAGTCAGACTCGGAGGCCTCCGATTTTGGCTGAACGTGGAGGTGCTCTGGCTTTAGGCCCGTCCCCAACAACCCCCCTCCTCCTCCCCCCTCCTCCTCCTCCTCCTCCAGCGCCAAGTCGGATCTGGCCGTCGTCTGGGCGGGGTCGGCGACCACGCGCCAGGCGAGCCCTGGGCCGGGGTGCCTTTCCCCACCCGCCCACTCGCCCACTTCCCCCGCCCCCGCCCTCCCCGAAGCCGCGGACCGGCGGCGCCGCCGCAATGCCCGACGGCGGGCGCCCTGGGCGCTCACGGCGCCCTCGCCCCGCGCGGCTGTCGAGCGGGCGTGCCTGGGCGGGCCGCGCGCAGGCTTGGGTCGCTCCGGCCCTGCCTCGCGCGGCATCAGCGGCCGGGGGCGCCGCGGCTGCCGCCCACCGCGGCCGGGGGGCGCCCTCCGGGGCGCGCCCCTCACGGCGCAGGCCGGCAGCAGGAGCGGAGCACGTGCCGATGAAGCAGAGGGCCAGACGGTTGGAGCCGCGGCGGAGGCTGGAGAGTTACCATTCACCACGTCGCCCGAGGGCGCCCCCCAGAAGGCAGAAAATGAGGCCGAGGCTGGAGGCGAGCCGATCGCCAGCCAGCCCGAAATTCACGCCCACGCAGCGAGTCCGACAGCCGAGAAGTTCGCCGCCGCAGAAGCCGCGACGGCAGCAGCGCAGGCGAAGGCGCCCGCGCCCCGCCCCGCAGCAACGCGGCCTCGGTCTTCGCCCCCGTCAACCCGCCGTTCCAGGAGTCGACGGCTGGCCAGTCGAGGTCCGGCAGGGAGCATCTTGCAAGTTTCTCGGGCCGTCTTGAGGCAATCTTAAGGCGCCGTCGACGCGGTTGGGCTGCCCTGGTCGTTCTTGCGCGCCGCCCACAGCTGTTGTCAGCCGCCGAAGGGGGCCCTGAATGCCCGGAGGGGGTCGAAAATGTCGAGGGCCAGAAGGAGGCGGGGATAATCCGGGAGGGCGCCCTGGCCCGGGCCGCGAGCCACTGGTGCCAAGGCATAGCATGTACATGACCACCAAAAACTGGCCGTGCAAACGGAGTACCCAGTCAGCCCAAAGGAACGGACCCCCGACCTCGGCGTCGGAACTGGGGCGCGCCACCGAGAGGGGGCGCCGAATGGCAGGGAATCTCGCAGAGACCTCCGAACAACAACTACGATAACGGCGCGATGCGCGGACGATGTCGCCAACGCCTCGTCGATGTGCGATTACACGGCTGACAGGCACCCCGTTGAGATAAGAGCCATTGCCCTCATGTCGACCCCAATTCCGCGCGAAATACGTGTCGTCCTATGCCGGCGACTTGGGAAACAGCTGCGCTCGACATTGCGCCTCCGATCCGAGAGCCCCGCATCCGCGCCACTGTGCCCCCCCCAAGAAGACCAGAGTCATGAGGGAAGACGCCAGCAACCCCCGCGCGCGCGCGTCTACGGCCACGCGCCGCCACTGCGGTCGGCGGCGGCGCCCTGGCACAGCGACGCAGTACGTCGACGACTTCTTGACCAGTATCTCCCTGCACCCCGTCCTTTCGAAGCACTGCCGAAAAATGTCTGACTATGCGGGATCACCCTGGCTGCGTCGCACATGTCAAACGCTCGATGGATGTCCAAACCTGCATTCTGCAGATCCCCACCAAGACAGATGCAACAACGGTAGCACGTCTCCGTCGCAGGCGTCGCACATCCAACCACCACGTTATCAAGCTCCCCTCGGACACGGTGCAAAATGAAGACCTCGTCAGAAACCTCGCTTTGAATGATGATGCCACGCGCGACATTGCCCCCCTGCCAGCCTTGCACGGAAATCGCAAAACTCTAGCACACGCCAGAGGCAACTGCGACGAGTTCCCACGCGCGTCTTGGAACCGGCATCGTCGCAGCACTTCGACATCGCCGCGGCAAACCACGCCCGGGGGGACGGGGGGGCAAGCTTCCCCGGCGATCCCTTGCGGCGGAGAGCAAGAAGTCCAAGCAACGCCCGCGCACATCCCCATGCAGCCACGCTGGATGGGGCGAGGTCCCGCAGCAAGATCCAGCCAGGATCCTGGGCGATGTCAGCCAGGGGCGCGAAGAACAGCTCCTTCGGGCAGACATCGGGCAGACAGACCACCCCGCATTGGACAATTTGTCAATTGATACTAGACAACGACGTCGACGACACGCAGATTCACAAAGACCTGCTTCAAGCCTGGCCCACGCATGTGGGGGTGGGAGGCAAGCATCGAACAAACGCCGAGCGTTGCAACAAGTGTCCTCGCCGCCGGGACCTGGCAAGCAACGACACGGAACGACACCGCGTCACGTCCACCAAGACTTGAGAACGCGTCGCCGGCCAGCACGGGGACGCGACCACACGGGTACATTCCACGCGCCAGGGGCGGCCCGCAGAACGGGCATGCGAGATGCCAAGCGCCAGTGCGGCTGGGCGGCCCAAGTCGAAATCGTCAGTCGAGATGCCCCCAACAGCACGACTGGCTTGCACCCGTGTCCAACACGAAAGTGCTCTGTCCCAGAAGACTCAGACTTACAGTGGTCCACTGGCGAGCGTACGCATTCCGCACTAAATCCAAAGTTTTGCGCACCATTTGACAAAGTAAGGACACCTGACCGTACAGCAAGGATGGGACCCTGAGACCTAGTACACGGAATGGCGGTAGCCGATGACGGTGCAGAAGAAATCCGAGCCGCTTCTAGGCTACTAGCACCGATGAGTGGAACAGGAGGTCTGTGTCGGCCGCGCTTGCAGCCCCATACCAAAAAACTCCGAAGTATCAGCCTTGCCCCAACTGTGAAAACGAAAATTTAGACGCTGACGGACCAAAAATGCTAAGAACAGGTTCAGCCGATCCAGCCCTAGGATGTGAATCGAACTGTACTGTCTTGATGCCGTGGAAGAGTCCTGGACGAACATACCGTAGAGAACATTGAACGGTCCTTTGATCGTGACCTCCGCGAAATCGCAGCAACGAAAAATGATAAAGACCACAAGCTCCCAGTCGCATGTGATCGACATCTGCGAAATGGAAGCGGTCGCCGTCGTTGTCGAGCACGATCAGGCCGCAGAATACGACCCTGCCATGAACGTCCAGGCTCTTGAACGTCAGATGCATTGCACATTGGCCAGCTATAGTGTGTAAGAAGTGCCTCCGCAGCCACGGCCAACCGTTCGACGGGCAAGTGGACGACAAAGACGATCGCCAAGCTCTAAAGGGATCGCCGGAAAAGCCGATACCTGCCCTTGTAACCATCCGTAAACGAGGGCCGCAACAAGGCTCCCAAGTGCTCCCCAAATCGCGCTGGCAGCCCATGCTGTCCCTGTGTAGGGTCCAGAGTGTCCAAAGAGGCAACAAACAAAACCTGATTCGGCAAGAACCTCCTCTGATACCAGATTTCGAAACCCGTATTTCCAGTCCGTGCCCGGTGTCCGAAGCAGGTGCCCAGCCTTGGGAGGTAAGAGACGAAGAACCTGCACAGCCCATTTCGGAGGTCGTGCTTGTCCTGCAGCTCCCACTGCACAAAGCAAACGAGCAGTTCCAGCAGCCACAAGCATCTCGAGCGCCAGCTGCTCCGACCAAGGAGCTGCCCGGCCACGCCAGCACTGCGGTGGGCAGAGGGCCCTAGCGATTTTGAGCGCACGCGAGGGAGAACGCTGCGGGATCCCCTGCAGGCGCACACGACCACGCCCATGTCCCCATTTCTTGCCGAGCCTCAGGACAAGAGTGCTGAAGATGATGGAGCACCAGAGCTGCAGTCTGCTCGGTAACAGCAGGGTCGCGACGAGGCAGTGACCAAGGAATCCGCATGCCCCTCCTTGCTGTCGCACCTGTAGGTGCTGAAGAGGAAGAGCTCGACCCGCATGAAGAACACGATAGTGCTCTGGATCAGACTGATGTCGAAGTCAAGGGGGGTGTTGAAAAGTGGAAGAGAATGACGAAGGGGAGGATATGATCGCCTGGGTACGAAGCACGTGGACGAGCCTTGTGAACAACGCTGCAGAAAAGCTGGCAGATAGACCAAGCCATACTCACCTAATGATGATAGAGGCCAGTATGAAGGGGCCCTGGGACACACAAGTAAATAGACACAAATAACAGGATTCCCCATATGATCCTATATTTTCTGGGTTTTTGTCTTCCCCCCACTTCCCATATGTTCCCATATTTTCTGGGAAATCGACGTTTAACTGTGTCTGTGTGTTTTTGTCCCTCCTGAGAGTAATGACGATGAAGGTTGTGCATCCCACCTTCGGTTCAGCGGCTCGCGCGACGGGACCGCGCCCGAGCGGATGAGCGCCTCCGTGCCCGCTTGGGCGCCCGCGGGTCTCGAGCAGGAAACGCCGGCGGACGGCCTATGCTCAGACAGAGGCAGCAGAGATCTGGAAGGGGGGGGGGACAGACGTCGCCACCAGGAATTGCACTTGCCCCCTTTCCGGATCTCTTCAAATTCTCCACGGTCGTGGCCAGCACGCTCGGCGTCGAATGCCCCAGCGTTCCTCCACCTCGTCCTCCTCCTCCTCCTCCTCATCCTCCTCCTCCTCCTGCTGCTCCTCCTCCTGCTGCTCCTCCTCCTGCTCCTCCTCCTCCTCCTCCTCCTCCTCCTCCTCCTCCTCCTCCTCCTCCTTCTCCTCCTCCTTCTCCCCCCTCCCCCTCGTCCCCCCCTCCCCAGGAGGAGGGAGGTCTCAGAGGACTCTCAGTGGCCCAGGGAAGGCGCGACACGCTCAGCGGCACGACACGCCCAGGGCCGCCTCGCAGAGCTGTTTGTAAACCTTCATCAGCTTCGCCTTGTCCTCGCGGCCGCCACTCCTCTCTCGTGAAATTTCGGAGGTTGATGTTTATGTAACCTGTTCTTCTTCGATCTGCGCTCAGAGCTCAGACAGGGCAGAGTTCACATCGAGAAGGCGTCGGCGTTGGCTTCTGATACCACGTGGAAGTTTCAGCCGTGAGCGTTCGCGGTTTGCTCATAGGGCGGCCAATTCTGGGCTGCCGCCGGCGTTCAGCCTTGAGCGCCGGCGCCAGGGGAGCGCCGCCGCGTCAACGCGGCACGAACCTGCCGTAGAGGATGTGAGGCTGGGATGCAGGACTGAGGGAGACACCGAGGGGGGTGGGGGGTGAGCATCGACCTGAAATCGGCAGCGAATCGCCGATCCATTGGCGATCGGCCGCTCCCGCCGACAGCAGAAACGGCGTGTTCCTGCGCAGGGGGGGAGGGGGCCGCGCCCCGATCGGAGATGGACGGGCGATCAGGGGTCGATTTTTCGTCCTTGAGCCAATCCCTGGTCTCGTCGCTCCTGCGGGCACGCTGCAAAGAACGCTGGGGGTCCTCTCGGGGCTCCCCTGGGGTGCTCTTTCTGGTGCACGCATGCGGGCCTCTCTGGGCCTGGCTTGGGGCACTCTTCGGCAATCCTGCAGCTACCTTGGGAGGTCGAAAAAAATTATAAGGCACGAAGGAGGAGGAGGAGGAGGAGGAGAAGAAGAAGAAGAAGGAGGAGAACGAGGATCGAGGAGGGGAGGAGGAGGAGGAGGAGGAGGAGGAGGAGGAGGAAGAGGAGGACGATCAAGGAGGATTGACGATCGAGGAGGAGGACCGAAGATCGAGGATCAAAACGATCCCGCTTCCACTGAATTGGGCCTATCGGGGCCATCCACAGGAGGCTCAGGAGCAGGCTCGGAGCAATATGTGGGGCCTTCTGTGGGAACCCCTGGGCGTAACTTTTCGGTCTGCGGCCGCTGGACTGCAACAGCGCTCGAGCGACGGAGGGGCGCTTCCGAGGCGAACTGCGGCACCGAAGTAGGCGCGGCGGGAGGCGGAGGGGGCGCTGGGGGAAAGGAGGCAGCGCTTAGAGCACGCCGCTCTTGTGCGCGAGTGCCAGAGTCCTCTGGGCGCAGCCAGTGGAGGCCATCTCTCGCCAGCGTGGCCCATCGGGAGCGCTCGGCGACACGCCCTGCCTCGTCCTTGCCCCTTCCAAAGCGCCGCGGGCGCAACTGGCTTCACGATCTCGGCCGCTGGGAGGTGCAGGCCCGCTACCAGTGGGCCAAGGCTTTGCGAGGGGCTGGAGAGCGTCCGGGGTGACCCAAGACGGCCCCAAAATGGCCCAGAATGGGCTCTGAGATAGCGCAAGATCGCCCAGGATGGCCTCCGGCATACCTCTGGGGGACTCCAATATGGTTTTCAGATGGCGTGGTCGCCACCGACTCCCGCAAAGGCGCCCCCGAGAAAATCTTTTTGGCGAAGAACCCAACCAGATGCAGTTGTGAATAACGCGTTGTGGGTGCCGCTTTCGGTGGAGCTCCCTATGGGGCCACGAAACGCGTGAGGGACGTGCTGTAATGGGTGAGGGAGACGCATGCGGGCGGTGCCATTGGGGCCTTCGGTGGGGGTCCCTATGGGCCACGAAACGCTGTACTGGGTGGTGGCTGACGCATGCGGGCGGTGCCCCTCGCTGGAGCTCCCGATGAGGCCACGAAACGCTGTACTGGGTGGTGGTTGATGCATGCGGGCGGTGCCACTGGGGACTTCGGTGGGGCCCCCATATGGGACCACGAAGCGCTGTGTTGGGCGGTGGCTGACGCACGCGGGCGGTCCCACTGGAACCTTCGGTGGGGCTCCTTATGGGGCCACGAAGCGCTGTACTGGTTGGGGGGTCGCACGCGGGCGGACCACTAAAGTTCCCTACGGGGCCACGAAACGCTGTACCAGGTGGGAGACCGCATGCTGGCGGTGCCACTGGGGTTTGGTGGAGTTCCCAATCAATGGGGCCGCGAAGTGCTGTTCTGGGTGGTGGACGACGCATGCGGGCGGTGCCACTGGGGTCTATATGTGGAGCACCCTACGGGGCCACGAAACTCTGTAATGAGTGGTGGCTGACGCACGCGGGCGGTCCCACTGGGTCCTTCGGTGGAGCTCCCTTTATGGGGCCACGAAGTGCTGTGTTGGGTGGTGGCAGACGCATGCGGGCAGTCCAACGGGGATCTTCGGTGGAGCTCCCTATGGGACCACGAAGCGCTGCACTGGGGTCCCATTGGGACCTTCGGTTGGGCCCCTTTTTAAGGGCCACGAAACGCTGTGTTGGGTGGTTGCTGACGCATGCGGGCGGTGCCGCTGGGGCCTTCGGCGGAACTCCCGATGGGGCCACGAAACGCTGTGTTGGGCGGTGGCTGACGCATGCGGGCGGTCCCACTGGGACCTCTGGTGGAGATCCCCCTGGGGCCATGATACGCTGTACTGGGTGGTGGCTGACGCATGCGGGCGGTGCCATTGGGGCCTTCGGTGGAGCCCCTTTTGGGACCACGAAACGCTCTACTGGGTGGTGGCTGACGCATGCGGGCGGTCCTACTGGGACTTTCGGTGGAGCTCCCTTTGGGACCACGCAACGATGTAGTGGGTGGTGGCTGACGCATGCGGTCGGTCCTGGTGTGACCTTCGGTGGAGCCCCCTTTTTTATGGGGCCACCAAACGCTGTGCTGCGTGGTGGACGACGCACGCGGGCGGTCCCATTGGGACATTCGGTGGAGCCCCTGGTGGGGCCACGAAACGCTGTGTTGGGTGGTGGCTGGCACATGCAGGCAGTGCCACCGGGGCCTTCGGTGGAGTTCCCTATGGGGCCACGAAACGCTGTGTTGGGTGGTGGGTGACGCATGCGGGCGGTGCCAGTGGGGCAGTCGGTGGAGCTCCCGATCTGGCCAAGAAGCGCTATACTGGGTGGTGGCTGACGCATGCGGGCGGTGCCACTGGGGCCTTCGGTGGAGCTCCCTATGGGCCCGCGAAACGCTGCACCGGGTGGTGGCTGACGCATGCGGGCAGTCCAACGGGGACTTTCGGTGCAGCTGAGGCCACGAAACGCTGTGCTGGGCGGCGGCTGGCGCATGCGGGCGGTCCCACTGGGACCTTCGGTGGAGTTCCCTCTGGGGCCACGAAACGCTGTACTGGGTGGTGGCTGACGCATGCGGGCGGTGCCAGTGGGGCATTCGGTGGAGCTGCTTATGGGGCCGCGAAACGATGTACTGGGTGGTGGCTGACGCATGCGGGCGGTGACACTGGGGACTTCGGTGGAGCTTCCTTTTTTATGGGGCCACCAAACGCTGTGCTGGGTGTTGGCTGACGCATGCGGGCGGTGCCACTGGGGCCTTCGGTGGAGCCCCATGACGGGGCCACGAAGCGCTGTGCTGGGTGGTGGCTGACGCAAGCGGGCGGTCCCACAGGGACCTTCGGTGGAGTTCCCGATGGCCCACGAAACGCTTTGCTGGGTGGTGACTGACGCACGAAAGGCTATACTGGGAGGTGGCTGACGCATGCGGGCAGTGCCACTGGGACCTTCGGTCGAATTCCCTATAGTACCACGAAGCGCAGTGCTGGGTGGTGGCTGACGCATGCGGGTGGTCCCACTGGGACCTTCGGTGGACATCCCTCTGAGGCCATGATACGCTGTACTGGGTGGCGGCTGACGCATGCAAGCGGTTCCACTGGGGCCGTCGGTGGAGCCCCTTTTGGGCCATGAAACGCTGTGCTGGGTGGTGGCTGACGCACGCGGGCGGTCCCACTGGGACCTTCTGTGGAGCTCCATGTGGGGCCACGAAACGCTGTGCTGGGTGGTGGCTGACGCATGCGGGCGGTGACACTGGGGCCTTCGGTGGAGCTACCTATGGGGCCATGAAACGCTGTGCTGAGTGGTGGCTGACGCATGCGGGCGGTCCCACTGGGGCCTTGGGTGGAGCCCCTTATGGGGCCACGAAACGCTGTACTGGGTGGGTGAAACGCAGGGAGGAGGGAGGAGGGGGAGGAGGAGGGAGGAGGAAGGAAGGAAGGAAGAAGGGAGGGAAGAAGGGAGGGAGGGAACGCGGGGACCGTCTCTTCAAAACGACGACCCAACACCACAGGATGGTTGGGAAAAATCGCCAAACGGGTGTTTCAACATGTGGTTGCCTGTTCGCCTTTTACAGCGTTCGACGAGCCTCTGAAGTCTTAAGCCATCGTGAGCCCCAAGAGGGGCCCAGAAATGCTTCAAGAGAGCCCCAGAAGCCCCCAAGACCAAGAGGACTCCAAGATGCGATGGCTCGGCGACCCAAAATAGGCGACGCGAATTGAGGCCACCCAGCAGCTCGATCTCATAGGGTCGAGCAGCTCACTGCACTCTGAGGCATGTAACGCCTCCGATGGAGTCATCCAGTACGCCTCTGAGGCATGTAACTAGAGTCAGGCAGTATTGCAAAAATCGCGCCTCCACAGCTTCAGAGCTCTTTGGTCTAGAGCTCTTTGGTCTCATCGTGGCGATGTCCGCAAGGCCCCCACAAGAGCCCCAAGAGACCCCGAATTTGCCAAATTGGCGGGGCTGCTCCAGACGATCCCGGCCGTCGGTCGGAAGGGCGCGCCCCTTCTTTGGGCCACGCCGTGCATGCGTTGCCGGGCCGGGCGGGGAAGGTCGACCTCAGCAGCGTCTCGCTGGAGCGCCGCCTGACCCCTTCGGGCACCGCGGGCCCATGCCTCCCTGGGCAGCGCACGTGCCTCGGGCCATGACCTGCGACCCCCGAGGAGGAGGAAGAGGAGGAGGAGGAGGAGGAGGAGGAGGAGGAGGAGGGGGAGGAGGAGGAGGGGGAGGAGGAGGGAGGAAAAGGAGGAGGAGGACCACCCCGTTCACGCGTCTGCCTGCGGGCCTGGCGGCGCCAAACTCCGAGGCCAGCCGCTGCACCGCCGGCGCAGCACCGCTGCTCTTCCGCACTTGTGCTGGAGAGTCGCATGTCTTGAAGGGGCCATGGGACACACAAATAAATATACACACAAATAACCAGATTCCCCATATTGTCGCATATTTTCTGGGATTTGTTCTTCCCCCCACTTCCCATATTTTCCCATATTTTCCTGGGAGAGGACGATCAATTGTGTCTGTGTGTTTTTCCCCTTCCTGATTTCTACCCTTGGTCAGGAGAGTCCGCAGTCGAATCGATACGTCGGATCGGCAATCGAAGTGAATCGGAACGGCGGAAAAGACGGCAGCCGAGTCGGGAGAAGTCGAGTCGGCAGAGATCGGCGGGCGAGAAATCGGAACCCGAGTCGGAATCCCAAGTGGAATGGAATCGGAATCGGCAGCCATCGAAATCGAATCGAACCGATCCGAATCGAATCGGAGGAATCGAAACGAGCCCTGTTTGGTGCTCGGTGTCGCACGGTGCAGTGGCAGCGGCCACCTGGGATATGGCATGTGGTGAAGGTCTGCTTAGGTCCCTGTGCACTCCTGCTCCCGACGTGGACTCTGAAAGTCACTGGCCGCTCCCTCCACCCTTCCCCCCCGTCCCCATCATCATCCATCGCCCATCCTCCATCATCCCTCCCTCCCTCCTCCACCTCCCGCTCCTTCTCTTCCTGGTCCACCTTGTTCCTTCCTCCCTCCCTCCCTCCCTCCTCCTCCTCCCTCCCAGAATGCCACCACCTTCCGCCTCCCTCCTACTCTCTGGTGCCTCGTGTCGCGTGCTGTGGCGAGCCCTCAGCCTGAAAGTTCGCTCAGAACGAGCTGGAGATACTTCGGCAGAGTTGAGCGCAGAAAGGCGATGGGTGAGATAGCCTGAGCCAACCTCCAGTGCCACTGCCTCTGCAGTCCTCCCCGTCGTTGTCCGTCGTCTATCGTCCGTCGTCCGTCGTCCGTCGTCCGCCGTCCGCCGTCCGCCGTCCGTCGTCCGTCCTTCGTCGTTCGTCATCAGCGTCGTCGTCGTCCTCGTCCTCGTCCTCCTCATCGTTGTCCCCGGTAGTCGATCGTCGGTCGTCGGCGTCGGCGTCGGTGTCGGCGTCCGTCGTCAGTCGTCCATAATCGGCTGTCCGCCGTCGTCGTCGTCGGTCGTCGTCGGTCGCCAGTCGTCCATAATCGGTCGCCCGTCGTCATCCGTCGTCCATCGTCCGTCGTCCGTCGTCCGTCGTCGTCGTCGTCGTCGTCGGTCGTTGATCGTCGGTCGTCGGTCGTCGGTCCTCCGTCGTCCGTGGTCGACGTCCGTCGTCCATGTTCGTCGTCGTCGTATTCATCGTCGTCGACGCCAACGTCGGTCGTCGGTCGTTCGGTCGTCGGTCGTCAATCGTCGGTCGCCGGTCGTCCTTGGGCGTTCGTCGTCCGTTGTTCTTCGTTCATCGTCGTCGACGTCGTCGCCGCCGCCGTCGTCGACGTCGTCGTCCCCGCCGCCGTGGTCGTCGTCGTCGTCGTTGTATTCGTCGTTCGTCGTTCGTCGGTCGTCGGTCGTCGGTCGTCCGCCGTCGGCCGTCGGTCGTCCATCGTCGGCGGCGTCGACGTCGTGATGCCTCACGCACTCCCTGCCTCCGTCACTCCCTGCCTCGCAGCCTGCCTCCCCCATCCCCTCGTCCCCTCGTCCCCTGGCTCCCCTGGCGCCTCTGGGCCCCTCCCCCTGAAAAACGCATCTCGCCCCCCCTCAGGTCCAGCCGTGCCCAGCCGTGGCGACGAGGTGGCACCCACAGGGCGAAGAGACGAGGAGGACGAGGAGGGGCCGACGCTCGCACGCGCGCCGGGGGCGCGGTCCTCCAAGGATGGAGCGGTGGCGCCGCGGCGCCGAACAGTTTATTTAAACTGTGGCTCCCCGAAGGCGATCGGTCTGGTCTGTCTGTGATCGGGTAAGGAGCGCGCCCTTGCTCCAGGCGGCAGGTTGACCGGAACAAACAAGGCAGAGAGCAGAGGAGCGGAGAGGAAGAGCAGCTCCCCGAAAGCTGAAAAGCGAGGAGGAGAAAAAGGAGGAGGAGGAGGCTCGGGAGTGGAAGGGGAAGGGGGAGAGGGAGGGGCAGGGGGAGGGGCAAGGGGAGGAGGAGGAGGAGGAGGAGGAGGAGGAGGAGGAGGAGGAGGAGGAGGAGGAGGAGGAGGAGGAGGAGGAGGAGGAGGAGGAGGGGGGGAAGGAGGAGGAGGAAGAGAAGGAAGAGGAGTGACGCCAGCCAGCGGGAGAAAGAAAGGAGCGAAGGCACATGGGCGGGGAACTGTGCTCGGGACCTGGCGCGCTCCAGCGGCACCTCGGGCAAAAGGCGAGGAGGGGAGGGAGCTACGTCTTCCTCCTGCGCTCCGCCAGCACACCTCTGCACGACGAAGGCGCCTACTCCCACTGGCCGCCCCTCTCACACGCGCTGATCCCAGCGCTGTGGCTGACCTGCCGCGGACCCGTGGGCCAGCGCGCTTCTTCCTCCAGCGCTCCGTCAGCTCCCACTGGCGGCCCCCCTCGAACGCGAGATGCTTCTCCCTCCTGCGCTCCGCCAGCGCCCCTCTGCACGGCGAAGGCGAACTACTCCCATTGGGCGCCCCTCTCGCACGCGCTGATGCCCGCGCCGTGGCTGACCGGAGGCAGGGAGTGACGGAGGCAGGAATTCGCCGGATTCGCTGGATTTCGCCAGATTAGGGAGACTCCAGGGTTCGGTTTGTCTAAGGATGTCCCACGCGAGAGCGTCAGTTTGGAATTCGTCGCTGGATACACCGGATTTCGCCGGATTTCCTGGATTTCACCTGAAACGTAACTGGCGAGCCTCTGAGGGCCTCGTTGGGGAGGCTCCGGAGACATGTTTTTCTAAGGATGTCCCACGCGAGGGCGCCGTTCGTCGCCAAACTCGCCGGATTCGCCGGATTCTGCCGGATTTCCCGGATCTCGCCTGAAACGGAACAGCCTCTGAAGGCCTCGTTGGGGAGGCTCCGGGGGCCAGTTTTTCTAAGGATGTCCCACGCGAGGGCGCCGATTTGGACTTCGTCGCCAAACTCGCCGGATTCGCCGGATTCTGCCGGATTTCCCGGATCTCGCCTGAAACGGAACAGGAGGGCTTCTGAGAGCCTCGTTGGGGAGGCTCCGGGGGCCGGCTTCTGAAGATGTCCCACGCGAGGGCGCTGGTTTGGAATTCGTCGCTGGATTCGCCGGATCCGCCGGATTTCGCCGCATTTCCCGGATCTCGCCTGAAACGGAACAGGGGGGGCGGTCGGCGGGGCCACTGCCGCGCAAGCCAGGGGTCATGATGACGTGAGTTCCACAGGAACTCCCTCAAACAATCAATATCATCGTTTTTTGCGACTAGTATTAATATTAGTATGTCTATTATTATTTGTATGTCTATGAATACTCATATTACTATGATCAGCATCATCATCATCCGCAGCAGCATCCGCAGCAGCGTCAGAATCAGCATCAGTATCAGCATCATCAGCATCATCAGCATCATCATCATCATCATCATCATCATCATCATCATCATCATCATCATCATCATCGTCATCATTATCATCATCAGCAGCAGCATGTTCATTGTCATTTGTAGTGTTACACGTAGTAGTACGATTAGCAGTATTACTGCAAGTATTGCTATTAGTATGAAAAGTATTAACAAGATCATTCGCATTAGTATTTGTTTGAGTATTACTTGTACGCAAACTCTTACAAGTTTTTGTTCTATTACTACTACCACTACTACTTCTGTTACTACTACTACTACTACTACTACTACTACTACTACTACTACTGCTGCTACTACTACTACTACTACTACTACCACTACTACTACTACTACTACTACTACTACTACTACTACTACTACTACTAAAACTACTACTACTACTACGACTACTACTACTACTACTACTACTACTACTACTACTACTACTACTACTACTACTACTACTACTACTACTACTACTACTACTACTACTACTACTACTACTACTACTACTACTACTACTACTACTACCTACTATACCAACTACCACTACTACCACTACTACCAATACTACCACTACTACCACTACCACACCACCACCACCACAACCACCACCACCACCCCACCACACCACCAACCACCACCACTCACCACTACTAATACTACTACTATACTTACTACTAATACTACTACTACTCACTACTATACTACTATTACTACTACTACTACTGCTGCTGCTGCTGCTGCTGCTGCTGCTGTGCTGATACTGCTGACTACTCATACGCTACTACTGATATACTAATACTACCTACTACTACTACTTATACTACTATACTACTACGGACTACTACAACTACTTACTACTACTACTATACTACGACTACTAACTACTACTACTACTAATACTACTACTACTACTTACTACTAATACTACGACTACGACTACGACTACGACACGACTACGGACTGCGACTACGACTACGCTAACGACTACGACACGATACGACTACGGCTACTACGACTACGAATTACGACTACGACTACGTATACTATACGATACTACTACTACTATTAACTTACTACTACTACACTACTTACTACGACTACTACTACTACTACTACTACGACTACTACGACTACTACACTACTACTTACTACTTGTTTTTTACTTTTTTTTGTTTTTTTTAACTTTTTTTTTTAACCCCTTACGACTACTTACTACTGATACTACTACTACTACTACTACTACTACTACTACTACTACTACTACTACTACTACTACTACTACTACTACTACTACTACTACTAAAATTACGCTACCGAGGAACCCCACCTACTTAATTTAGATCTTATGTCAACGCCTGCTACGCTGTCACACTCTCCGACCCTGGCACGCATAGACGCCGCGGTGAAAGACCACCCCCTGCGCACCCATCCTGGTGTCGAGAAAGTGCCATGCCTGCCACGCTCTCCGACCCTGACACGCATAGACGCCGCGGTGATAGACCACCCCCTGCGCACCCCCCACTGCTGTCGAGAAAGTGCCACGCCTGCCACGCTCTCCGACCCTGGCACGCATAGACGCCGCGGTGAGAGACCACCCCTGCGCACCCTCTCTGGTGTCGAGAAAGTGCCACGCCTGCCACGCTCTCCGACCCTGGCACGCATAGGGGCCGCGGTGAGAGACCACCCCCTACGCACCCCCCCTGCTGTCGAGAACGTGCCACGCCTGCCACGCTCTCCGACCCTGGCACGCATAGACGCCGCGGTGAGAGACCACCCCCTGCGCACCCTCCCTGGAGTCGAGAAAGTGCCACGCCTGCCACGCGCTCCGACCCTGACACGCATAGACGCCGCGCTGAGAGACCACCCCCTGCCCACCCCCTCTGGTGTCGAGAAAGTGCCACGCCTGCCACGCTCTCCGACCCTGGCACGCATAGACGCCGCGGTGAGAGACCACCCCCTGCGCACCCTCGCTGGTGTCGAGAAAGTGTCACTCCTGCCGCTAGCGACCTGCGCACGCATAGACGCGCGGTGAGAAACCAGTTCCCTGCGACACCCTCTCTGTGTCTGAGAAAAATACCACGCTGCCACGCTTACGCCGAACCTGGCACGCATAGGCGCCGCGGTGAGAGACCACCCCCTACACACACACACACACACACACACACACACACACACACACACACACACACCCTGCTTTCGAGAACGTGCCACGCCTGCCACGCTCTCCGACCTTGGCACACATAGACGCCGCGGTGAGAGACCACCCCTGCGCACCCCCTCTGGTGTCGAGAAAATCCCGCGCCCGCAACGATCTCCGACCCTGGCACGCGTAAAGGCCGCGGTGAGAGACCACCCCCTTGCGCACCCCCTTTGGTGTCGAGAAAGTGCCGCGCCTGTCACGCTCTCCGACCCTGGCACGCAGGGACGCCGCGGTGAGAGACCACCCCCTGCGCACCCCCCCCTGGTGCCGAGAAAGTGCCACGCCTGCCACGCTCTCCGACCCTGGCACGCATAGACGACGCGGTGAGAAACCAGCCCCTGCGCACCCTCTCTGGTGTCGAGAAAGTGCCACGCCTGCCACGCTCCCCGACCCTGGCACACATAGGGGCCGCGGTGAGAGACCACCCCTACGCACCCCACCCCCCCGCTTTCTAGGAAAGTGGCAAGCTGCCCTCGCTCTCCGACCCAGCGCTCGCATAGACGCCGCCGGTGAGAAACCATGTCCCTGGCACCCCCTTGGTTGTCGAGAAAATGCCACGCCTGCCACGGCTCTCCGACCTGGACGCGTAAAGGCAGCGGTGCAGACAACCACCCCGTGCGCACCCCTCTGGTGTCGAGAACGTGCCACGCCTGCCACGCTCTCCGACCCTGGCACGCATAGGGGCCGCGGTGAGAGACCACCCCCTGCGCACCCCTGGTGTCGAGAAAGTGCCACGCCTGCCACGCTCTCCGACCCTGGCTCGCATAGACGCCGCGGTGAGAGACCACCCCTGCGCACCCTCTCTGGTGTCGAGAAAATGCCACGCCGGCCACGCTCTCCGACCCTGGAACGCGACAAGGCAGCGGTGAGAGACCACCCCCTGCGCACCCACTCTGGTGTCGAGAAAGTGCCACGCCTGCCACGCTCTCCGACCCTGGCACGCATAGGGGCCGCGGTGAGAGACCACCCCCTACGCACCCCCCCTGCTGTCTAGAAAGTGCCACGCCTGCCACGCTCTCCGACCCTGGCTCGCATAGACGCCGCGGTGAGAAACCACCCCTGCGCACCCTCTCTGGTGTCGAGAAAATGCCACGCCTGCCACGCTCTCCGACCCTGGCACGCGTAAAGGCAGCGGTGAGAGACCACCCCCTGCGCACCCTCTCTGGTGTCGAGAACGTGCCACGCCTGCCACGCTCTCCGACCCTGGCACGCATAGGGGCCGCGGTGAGAGACCACCCCCTACGCACCCCCCCTGCTGTCGAGAACGTGCCACGCCTGCCACGCTCTCCGACCCTGGCTCGCATAGACGCGCGGTGAGAGACCACCCCTGCGCACCCTTGGCGTCGAGAAGGTGCCACGCCTGCCCCGCTCTCCGACCTGGCACGCATAGACGCCGCGGTGAGAACCACCCCCTGCGCACCCCCCTTGGTGCCGAGAAAGTGCCACGCCTGCACGCTCTCCGACCCTGGACGCTGCGGTGAGAGACCACCCCTGCGCACCCTCTCTGGTGTCGAGAAAGTGCCACGCATGCCACGCTCTCCGACCCTGGCTCGCATAGACGCCGCTGTGAGAGACCACCCCTGCGCACCCTCTCTGGTGTCGAGAAAGTACCACGCATGCCACGCTCTCCGACCCTGGCTCGCATAGACGCCGCGGTGAGAGACCACCCCTGCGCACCCTCTCTGGTGTCGAGAAAGTGCCACGCATGCCACGCTCTCCGACCCTGGCTCGCATAGACGCAGCGGTGAGAGACCACCCCTGCGCACCGTCTCTCTTCGAGAAAATGCAGCGCCCGCCACGATCTCCGACCCTGGCACGCGTAAAGGCCGCGGTGAGAGACCACCC